TGCTTCGAGAGTTTTGAGATTTCATCTTGCCCCAGTTAGAATGAGTAAAACTAGTTACAAATGCTGGTGGATATAAGGAAGAGAATTGCTGTGGTGGGGGAAGAGAAACTGGTAGAGACACTGTGGAAATCAGTGTGGTTCTTCAGGTACTTTTAAAAGAAAGATTTACTCATTTATTTATTATGTATAGAGTGTTCTATCTGCATGTATCCCTGCAGGTCAGAAGAGGGCACCAGATCTCATTACAAATGGTTGTGAGACATAATGTGGGTGCTGGGAATTGAATTCAGTATCTGGAAAACCATCTAGTGTTCTTAAACACTGAGCCATCTCTCCACCCCCCTTCAAGTTTTTGTTTTGTTTTGCTTGGTGTGTATAGTCATTGTTCACAGTGATGGCCTTCATAAGGACATTTTCATTCATGTATATCATGTGTTTTGACCATATTCTCCCTCCTATATTCCCCTTTCTCCTCATCCCTTCCCACTAGTTCTCTTCCTTTCCCCAAAGTCTAGTTTATACTTTTATGTCATACATAAAATTATGTACACACACATATACATATATGTGTGTGTGTGTATGAGCCACAGATTAGAGAAAGCATGTGTTATTTGTCTGAGTCGGGCTCATTTCCCTTAATGTGGGGCTTTCCAGTTCCATCTGTTTTCCCACAAATGACATAATTTTGCCCCTCTTTATGGCTAAATAAAACCCCATTATGTATACATACCACATTTTCTTCAACCATTTATCTATTGCACCTTGGCTAATGATTCCATAGCTTGACTGTTGTGACTAGTGCTGTAATAATCACTGCAGGTGTCTCTGTAATATGCTGCCTTACATTCCTTTGGGCTGATTCCTGACACGAGTCACTGTCTCGGTGTCACGGTGACAGGAATGTCCTCTGAGCCCACTGGGGAACTGAGTGTGTGGGCATGCAGGTTGTTTATGACATATCTGTTCCAACATTCCCCCTAAGCCTTCTTATTGTTTTCTCTGCAACACACTAAGGCAGTTCTGGCACATCCATATTACTACACAGAGGTCGGAGCATCACTAGGTCCTAGCCGATAAACAAACTGCAGAGCCACCTCCTGTTATCTGAGCCTGATGAGGGCATCCTGCTCAACAAATGTGACTCATGTTATCCTTGCCCTGTTTACATGTCTGATGCCTGTTGAGACTCTGGGAGTGAAGGGAGTGGGTCTCCAGGAGCAAAGCATCCTTGTCAAGCAACTGCCAATGGGATCTTACTGCGAGGTCCTCAGTAAAGACAGGCCAGGCAAGCTTCCTCTAGCAAGGGAGGCTTCTGCTTCTTCAGAGTCCATGTTGATTCCCTATTTCACATCTCAGGTGTTCAGTTTCCAAAGCGCTGTTCTGACTTTGATGCAGTACGTTGGCAAGGCTGTGGATTCAGCTTAGGTTGTGATTATGCAGCCCACACAATTCAATTGCATCAGCCATTTTCAGCAATACCAGCCCTGCAGCAAAGAAATACATTTCTTACTTGCTATTTTCATAAATAATGTAAGTGATTATTGGAGCTTATTTCTAGTGAGGCTCTCTGGCTGCTTGACTGTGGTCCATCTTTGAGGGCTATTTCCTAGGACCACTTCTGGTCCCATTAATGTTCTTACTAGACAATAGACAGAATTTAGTGGAGGAAATTGTTAGCTAGGTAAGTAGAAGGAAGCAGCTGCCATCCTCAGGGCGAGAACAAAGGGAGAGTGGAATAATTTCAACTTGGAATCCCAGAGGAGGAGATCCTTGGTGCTGAACACCACCACTCACACTGCTCAGCTGATAAGAGTGAGTGTCCCTGGCCTTGCAGGGGTAGTCTGCCCTGCCCAGGGCTGAACTCCAGCCTCCCATCAGTACAGGAAGAGCCCGAGGACCTCTGCTCTGCTCTCAGCCCCAGCAGTCACTCTGTGCCAAGCCCTAGTCCTGCTCCAAATTGGTGCAGTCAGCCAAAGGGCTGAAATTCTGGGGTTCCCTCTCTGCAGCTCCTCCCTCGCTCATTCACGCCCTGCTCTCCTAACTCTACACTCTGACCTCTTCCTCTTCGGTCTAGCCAGACCTCTTAGACCTGCTTGGCCCACCTCTCTGCACTGTGGCCTGGATGGAACAGATGCCCAGGGCGAAAACTGTGTGTCTCCTTGCCCTAATGCAGCCCTGTCCTGGGCTGTCTCGTTGTTTTATCCAACTTTCCAGCAGGAAGAAGCCTCCCCTGTGGTTCTTTTGTCAGCTGCTCAGCATCTGAATGCCCATCTTTGCAGAAGTCTGCATCGTGCTGTGCTCACTGCATCCATCATTGAAGCCAATCATGCTTCTTAAGAACCCCACACATCATTCCTGAGACTTCACTCTGCTCTGGAGTGGTCCACTAGGGGTCTGAAAACACAGAGGCTTTCCAGGACCGACCTGAGGTTGGGCTGTTGATAAAAGGCCTCCCTTGCTTGAACTCCCATGGGACAGGGACACTTGCTATTCATCTCTGGGCCTATGGGATGAATGAACTCGTTTGCATGCATCCACTTTGGACCATTAATTGGTCTCCCCTTGTGTTTGTGCCCAGGCCCTGTGTGTAACAGAAAATCACATCCATTTGTGCCTGGCGTCTCACCACCTACCCCAGTTCCCTTCCCTATCTGGAGCGCTCACCCCCACCACATACCATAATCCTATAGGGCCTACATCTGGGGTCCCCTGAGAAGCATATGGAGAGCTATAACTAACTGTGCTGGACTGTGGGCTTGGGACAATTTTAAAAAGCTGATCATCTTCAAAGCCTGGTATGTTTTCCTTACCCAGACACACTCACACTTTGATGCCCTAGGCTCAGGGCTGGAAAATGAATCCTTTGCTTTAATTCTCAGGGTCATTATGCATACATAATGCTTTCCCTACCATTTAAAAGGAATGTAGATCGTATGTAAATGTGCCTCTGTGGAATTGTATATCTCAACCTGCATTAAGCACACATGAATTTCACAGTGACATCATTCAGTGCCTGCTCCCTCGGTGTCTGCATAAAAAGCAGACAAATTCTGTTCTGTATACATTTGCTATGTCTGGTTCCCCCTGGTCTCAGAGTCATGCTTCGGACCTCGTGATGGCTCATTTTGAAAGGTTTTCAGATCACCTCTTCCAACCTCTAATGCTTTGATTCCTTCAGTGATGCTCCTCAAGATTCACCCTTGAACTCTTCCACTGGCAGGGCACCCACTCATTCCAGAGCAGATTATTCTCTGCTTGGGACAATGAAGAGCCATTAGAAAGCACGCATTACCGGAAGGATGTCCTTGTAAGGCAGGGAACAGTTATTGCTTCCCTTTCCAAATCCTGTTTTCCTGTTGTTGCATGAATATCGTGTTTCCTTCACAGCATTAAACAATCAATCTCTTCTTTCTCTCTCTCTGTATCAACACTCACATGTACATATGCCATTACACAGACATGCATTTTATAATGACCAGCTCACCAAGCATCTTTGCATTTCCATGCTCATTTTTAGTATCTATTGGCCTCTATTATAGTTATCTATTGTCAGATGGATCATAATTTACTTAATCATTGCCTGCCTGTAGGCAATTATATTGTTTCCATTTTTTTTTGATGCAGTGATGGATTCTGGGATTAAATCTTCAAATGGAGTGATTGTTTTCTTAGGAAAAAGTCACAGATGGGATGGGGGGATCAAGAGGTGTGAGCGGGTTAAAAGGTCATTTCAGGTGAAGGTGCAGTCTCTGGGTTGGATGGAATCTTAGTACTGGTCATGTGCTGAGAGCTTTCCTGGAAGTCTCCTTTTCTATTCTTCACCATTTCCCCTCCCTTCCCCAAGGCACCTGACATCTCTGCCCATGCCCGTTGTTAGAGTGACCGGCCACATGGTTTTACTCTGCTCACCCATAAAGTGGCATCTACAAGGGCTTCTTTTGGGGGTAAGGACCTCCCCCAAAGATGGCAAACGGGGCAGGAACTGGGCTAAGAAAGGAAAATGTGTGTAACTTGTGAGGTCTGCAGCAGCCCATCCTGGGCACTGAGAGAGGGGCTTTCTCTATCTCTAGATAGTAAGCCAATAGTATACGTGAGAGCAAGTGAACTCGGAGTACTTCCTGGGAAGCCTGGTTGGTAAGTTTTTCTCCCCCTTGGGCGTATTCCCCTAGCCACACATCACCATCCAGCGATAGGGCCCCTTTTGTCAAAGATGAGGTGCTTAGAACTGGCTGGGAGCCTACATGAAGAACCCACAGCAAGAACCTGTCTTTCAACGCTTTACTAACTAGGCCATAAGCACTCTGACACTGATTCTCCAGGACCCCATTCCAACACTCAATAGCCAAAGGACAGAACACAAGTTGTTAAATACTGTGCATTTGTATATCTAAACACTGTGTAAAGGGTAACACTCAAGACTGATTCACACAAAGTCCAAAATACATCACTGTGTCTTGTCACCACCAGGTCCCTGTCAACCATGAGGTGCATGGCTGTAGATACCTTTAAGAAACATCCCTGAGAACATACACCTTTTTCTCCCGTGCTGCATTGTTTGGATGAGAGACTGGATTTTAGAGATGATTAAAGGTGGGAAACCTAAATTCTGTAGGCCGAAAACCCAGGTGAAAAGTCGTACATACAGCACTGTGCAGTGCCTTGTCAGTGGGTGACTGGGCTATGTGCTCACCCACGCTTGTATGAAAACATAACCAGATCTAATAGCCAGAGTGGCCTCTGGGATCAGGGCTGGGGGACTGGGAATCTAGCCGAGAGGGAAATCTAACCATCCATTTGTAAAATTGGTAAAGATTTCCTTTACCAAACAAAACTGGAAAGACGACAAAATAAAATAGGGCATCTTGGCGGGACAATTGAGAGTCATAGTATTGTCTTTTGGATGGGGTTGAGTGTTCCCCTCCCACCTCCCCCCAAACCCACTCCCTAGTTCTGGAGACTTCCCTGCAGTTGGACACTCGGGTAGGGCCTCGCTGGGCTGGTCCCGGGCCGAGGGGCGCCCCGCGGTGCAGGCCGGGCCAATCAGCGGGCGCGGGGCGGGCGCGGTGGCTTTGCACGCGCCGAGCGCTAAGCGGAGCAGAGGCGCTGCTGCCGTCCGTCCGGGAGCCGGCCATGCCGCCTTTGCCGCTGCTGCTCCTGCTGCTACCGTCACTGACCCGGGGCCTCGGGCTCCGTGACACGGGCAGACGACAGCCAGAGTGCGGCCCGTGCCGGCTGGATCGCTGCCCGGTGCCCTCGCCCTGCCCGGCGCCCTGGATCGCCGCGCGCGACGAGTGCGGCTGCTGCTCACGCTGCCTGGGCACCGAGGGCGCGAGCTGCGGGGGACGGGTGGGCGCACGCTGTGGCCCCGGCCTGGTGTGTGCGAGTCGCGCCGCCGGGACGGCGCCCGAGGGCACCGGGCTCTGCGTGTGCGCTCAGCGCGGCACGGTCTGCGGCTCCGACGGCCGCTCCTACTCCAGCATCTGTGCGCTACGTCTGCGTGCCCGGCACGCACCCCGTGTGCACCCTGGCCACCTACACAAGGCACGGGATGGCCCCTGCGAGTTCGGTGAGTGGAGTTTAACCTGAAAGGCCCAGGTAGATGGGAGAAACGGGACCCCAATGCTCTAAGATGTGGAACAAAGAATTTTATTACACAGAAGTGGACACCACCTGAGCCTCAGCCTCCCCTCCAGGGGCAATATTTCACATCTTAATTTCATGTTAGGGCAGACAGGGGGTGAAGTCTACACCCTGCCTGCTGCCTTACCCCCGTCATGGAGATCCCACCCCTAGAGCAAATAAGAATATGGATGCTTAAGAACCTGCTATTGCAGTTACTTGAAAATGGGGATTGGAGTGGGTCCTGGGCCAAGTGGATTGTTTGAATAGAGAGGAAGGGAAGATGAGGACTCCCAGAGAGCAGGAGCCTCACATGGGATTGAAAAGTCACCAAGACAGGAGCACAGGGTACTGGGTATCCAGTAAGACTGAGACTAAGGCCCTCAAGGAGCTTTCATCGTATGAGAGACCTTTGGAAACTTCAGCTCTGAAAAGATTATTGGACCATAGGGACAGACCCAGTCTAAAGTGCACATAATTTGAAGTGTTCTGCTTTAAGGGAATGAATAGAAAACTCTCAGTTGCCAAGGACTTCAAAGCTTAACACCACACTGCACACCTCCCTGGCGCCCTAACTGATCATTGTCCTGGGTAATTTTTTCTGAAAAACAAAATGTCAGTGTCTGTGAATGTCCAAAAAGGCTAGCCTACTTTGCCAGTGTGTGGGTTTGACATGCCTAGGGCCCATCTATTCTGTTTGGAAAGGATAGTGATAAGTATGATGCTGCCATGCAGCCTGTGCTTCAGGCTTCTCGAGATTTCTGGCCTGAGTTGGGAGATGAAGTCTAAACCAAATGCCCAAGTTAGTGCTTCAAGGAAGACACCTGGTGGCTCTTTCTCCAGGCCTTAAATGGTGCTTGGTATTGTGTTATTCTCCTCTCCCTCCAAATACTCCACAGAAACCTGCTCAAACCCAGGATTCTGATGGATGGTTGGAAATGGGGCAGGAAGTCCACTGTACCGGGAAACAATGACGGCGGGCAACCCGGTGAGGGGCTATAGCAGGCTGGGTTACATGGGAAAGTCACTATGGCTCTTTGCTAGTCCAGGCTCCAGTGGAGGGTGGTACTGGAGGCGGTGTGTACTCCTGGGTACTCCTTGGCTCCAGCAGTGACATTGAGCCAGGTCATTTCCCTCTCCAGCCACAGCGGCCCCAGGGGGAGAGGGAGCACTGTTGATGACCTCTCTGCTTGGAAATGCTTGTGCCTGCCCCAGGCACCGACCCAGTCTAGTCTTTCCTTCCTGTAGTCCTGTCACTGCCCACAATCTGCCTCCTCAGCAGTTGGTTCACAGGCAATTCCCTTTGTCTGAGACAGGTAGCACTAATAGCACACAGGGACACAGAAGAAATGCTGACCAGGCCCCCAGAGCTTCCCAGGGGTGAGGGCTTGGGTGATTTTTTCCCCCTGGAGTGGCATTCTGTTCCTAGGAGAAGACCCCTTCAAGGCATGGGGCCCAAAGCTGCTTCGTGCAGAAGAGACCCAAACCCAGAGAAAGCAGGGGACTTCTCCAAGATGTCCATGAAGGCTGTCACCTCTCAGGTCCCAACCCCTTGTCCAGCACTCTTTCAGGAGTGGACTTGATAATATTAAGTCAGGCAGATGGTGGTTGCTATGGTTACCAGAGTACAGACAGATGGCAGATGGAAAATCCACACCCCTAATTTACTGAAAATTACCAAATGACAAGTAAATGTGCCAGCCCCTCGGCTCTGATCTATGGGCTCCGAGGCCCGCCCTGGGCTCCAGCCTGGAGAATAAAGAGGTCCTGAGAGCCAGAGGGAGCAATTCAGAAGCCACTTCCCAGGACCTCATTAGTGACAGACTTCAGCACTCCTGAGCGCAGCTGTCCTTTCCACCAGGGTTCGTGTCACCCACCTCAGACCTGATGCTGTCTCTCTGTCACCTCCTCCTTCACAAGCTTGGGTGGGGGTCTTTGCCCTTGTGTTTCAGGGAGACGTGGGCTCGTGCACAGGAAGCTGTTTCCCTACTCTGGCTGCACCTCATTCTGGGCTGCCCTAAAGCCATCTTTAATTCAAAAGACACAGCAGGAGCACTTTTAACAAAGCCCCAGGGGACCTTGTTTGAAGAGAAACAGACAGTTTTACTTCTGTGTTGGTGACAGTCACTCCTCAGCTCCTCCTTGACTCCTTCAGCTCCCAGGTACCTCCTCTTCAATGGAGTGGGGGTTTCTATGTAGTGATTAGCCCCTTCCCAGTGAAGACCAGTGTCTCTGGGATGCCTCCATGGGACAGTGGCGGCAAACAGTGTTTGGGTCTAGATGCTACCCTTCCCAGAAGCCTTTGCTCAGAACTGCCCACTGCCTAAGATTGAGCACATCCTTTGAACCTTGTACATTAGACACCTAAGTGTAAATATTTTATTGTTATACATTGCTTTTTGTGTACATTATTGTCCTTGATTTTTGCAACCACCGTAGGGAGGGGAATCTTACTTATCCCCATAAGGCAGTGATCTTCAACCTTCTTAATGCTGTGACCCTTTAGTACAGTTCCTCATGTTGTGATGACTCCCAACATCTTCATTGCTACTTCATAACTGTAATTTTGCTACTGTTATGAATCATAATGTAAATATATGTGTTTTCCAATGGTTTTAGGTGACCCTTGTGAAAGGGTCATTGGGTCTCAACTGACAGATTGAGAACCATTGCCATAATAAAAGGGAACACTGAGGCACACCAGAGGGGATTTCTTGAAGCTACAAGGCTCGCCGCAGCTGAGACAGGGCTCCAGGTCCATTTGCCTAGTTCTTGGCAGATCCCTGCCATCCGTCTCCAGCCTGCAGGGCTTTGGGCCCCAGCAGTTTCTCTGGGAGCTTGAGTTCCTGGATCTTAGAAATTCACCTTGGTTGGAATTCCTGCTCCATTTAGAAGCCCGGGGTACGTGTTACCAGGTAACCAGAGGAGGCGGTGAATGCCACTTTGTGAGAGGGACAAAGAAAGGGGCCTCGTGTTCCAAAGCCTTTCATGAATGCTGAGGGAGGGGATTTGAGTCTCAGGCTGCAGGCAGTGGGATTAAGCTGGAGCTCCTTCCACATCCAACCGTGATTATAAGCATAAATTATGAAGCCTGTTCGGCACGTTGATCATTAAATTCTTTGCTTGTGTGTGTCTTAGTACAAGCAGATAGGGTCCTGGGGGACAACTCTGGCTGTTCTTGCTGTCCATGGCACCATTAATTTAAATCTCTGAGGCACGGAGGACAATCTTTCATTTCAGCCACCAAGGACCCATTTAATGTAAGGGGTAGGGAGACCATCACCACATGCAGTAATAATACAGGTCCTTTGATCTGCGAAGACCCGCACAGCTGACACAGACACCGTCATTATGTTCCCGCATGCCAGAGGGTGTGGGGCAGTGTTCTCTTCCCAAGCAGACAATGGTCACAACCTGCCCAAGCACCTGGACTCCCAGGCAGCTGAATCTCCCTGGTACTGCTTCTGACCACACACAGCTGAGTGACTGTGACCTGCTGTCTAGCCCTGGCATGGATGGAGTGGTGCCAGCCTGGATTTCCTAGGCTGCTATGAGCATGAGAAGGAAGCAAATCCTGAGCAGGGAAGAGTTAGAAAGATGGAACTGATCCATTTAGAAGTCTAGGCCCTCCTAGAAAGCCACTTTATTCCAGCCAAAGGTAGGTGGGAAGGAAACCCCTCCTCCTTCCAGGATTCTGGCAGCCATGGCAACACTGAGGTGAGGAGCTATGTCCTGGGCTCTTTCAAGATTGTGGCCATCCAGCTCCAGCCTGCGAGGCATTGAGCCACTGCAGCTTCTCTGAGCTCTGGAGACCCTAAGGGTTGAGGGTCATGGCTTCTGGTGCCACCAGATAGGACCTGTCAGCAGAGGTCAGCAGAGGGCTTCAAGCAAACTCAGCACAATGGAAAGGTCTGTTCTGAGTAGCATGAGCTTCTATGTCCCTTAGGAAACCATGGCAGATTGCAAGAGGTCCAGCCCTTGGAGGGCAGGCATCGGGCATGTCATAGCTTAAATATGAAGTGTTTGTGGAAGATGTGTGTATTAAAGGGTTAGTCCCTGGCTGTGGCACTAATGGGAGTGGCAGGGTCTCCTGGAGGTGGGGCCTAATGACAGGAAGTAACTGGGCATCTCTGCCTTAATCTTGTCCCAAGGACCATCTCTATTCCTCCCTCTGCTTCCTGGTAGCCCTTAGGTGAACAGCTTCCTTCCATTCTGCCCTTCCACTCTAATGTCTCTGTCTCACCACAGACCTAATAGGGACAGTGCCAGCCAGCATGGACTGACTCGGGTTCCAAAGAGGTCGGGCACCTGTGTCCATTCTGAAGAAACTAACTAAAGCGTGACACTGAATACACAGCCTAGGCAGAACTTGAAGTGGGTTTCCTTAACCCCTGCCCACCATGCTTTCCTGCCTTCCTCTGGTAGTCACCGAGTACCCTGCTGTCACACAAGTAATTTGAGGACTGGAGATGTCCTGCTAGTGTTATGGGCAGTCACTCGTGGGCGTCGCTGGGAGGTGATGTGCAGAATGTCCCCTCCTTATGCAGAATAGAGCTCAAGTAACTGGCCTGAGACTGTCATTTCAGAATGATCAGCTGGCGAGTTTGGCCTGAGAACTGAGAACAGGGGCTTAAGGAAAATAAACCATCCCCAGAACTGAGGAGAGTGGCCCACTGCCTAAACGGCAGAGTGTGCTCCACGTTGACATTGATGTTCCATCACCATGAAATGCCTGCAGTGACCATGGTAGGATGGCTCCTGGTTCTGGGAGGCCGGCCCAGAATCTACAGCCCCATTTCTCTTTTAGCCCCAGGCAAGAGCCACACAGCCCAGCAGGAGTGTGTGGCAGGACACACTGCTCCACTCCCAAGCAAGGGAGCAGAAGAGAGGAGGCACCAGAACCCTACAGTCCCCTCAGATCATACCTCTGGTGACCTACAGACCTCTTGCTGGGATCCACTTCCTGAGTGGGCAGTTACATTACCACCACCACCCCTGTAATGCCCTGAGAACTCCAGAGGCCTCCAGCACATGAGTGTTATGGGTGACTTATCCACCCATCTAGGGATCTGAGACTTTGGTTCATAATTCAGTACCTGTGTGATCAGCCCCCCGCTAAAACCCTGGTACCGAGCCTCCCAATTAGACAGCGCTTCACAGTAGTGTCTCAATCTATGACTGTGCCCTGTGTGCTTCCCCTGGGAGCTGGTGCCTGGGTCCCCTACCTGACTTTCCTCTCTGGTGAGTTCGCTCTGTATCCTTGGCTTGACATGGGTTGTGGCTGTGCCACTGTACCCTGTAAGCCGTGAGGCCTCCCAGCAAACCACTGTGCCTGAGAGCCCTTGACACGATCTCTAAAGAGTTGCTCTCTCCTTCTAGGGTGGAGCCCACCAAACTAACAGTCGTCTCAGTTTCAAAGCTAGTGTGGAAGTGTGTGGAACTATGGCCGGAATGAGTCCCTGTTGTTCCAGGCATTTCACCTTTCAAAACCTTAGCTCCCTGGCTGTAAAATGGGAGTTAAAACACCGACTTTCCAGGGCTTGTGTGAGGAGAGAGTCCGCTGGGGAAAAGGCAAGATGAGATGGTGTCAGCACTAAAATGAGGCTTGATCTCTACAACCAGGAATCCTACCTCCCCGTCATTGACAGTAAACTAACCCAGGGCAGCTCCCCCTGCTGGCATCCAGTAAGACTGCTGGAAAGGAAGGCGTTAACAGCTGTAAGCAGCTTTAGCTGTGGCGTCTTTACTATTACTGTGGTTGTTACTGACCGTGCAGAGCTGTTATGGCTAAGAACGCAAATTTAATGTCAGATATATTCAAATTAAAAGAAGATGACTGACAACAGGCAGCCTGAGGAAATCTTTGAAGGTCACAGAACTGCTCTACTTCCAACAGTGACTTCTTCCCAACCATATGCATCAGTCCAACACGGGTCTGCAGCACCAGAATGAGTGTGTGCAGCATGCAGATTTATAGATAAATAAATGCACTGGGAAAGGTGGCTTTAACACTGAAAGCAGGAGGCTCTTTTGTAAAAGAAATGGTTATTTCCTGCCGTGACAGCAGTGGCAAAGGCAGCCTTCCCTAGACAGTCCCTCTTAATTGTAGTTATTGAGAGAGAGAGACTGGAGACTCTCGAGGAGCGCGCGTAGGAAATGTGATTTACTGGTTTATTCATTTAGGCCTGAAAGGGAGTGATGAAGTCTCATTTAAAATTTATGACTTTACTTGAAGGAAAGTGAAACACATTGACGGAGCGTCCCTCTGGAACCTATTGACGGCCCTGGAATCAGGGACAGTATGGCTGTCCCACAGCCTTTTGGGGACAGGCTCGTGGGTGGAAGGGCTTGTGGCTGGAAGCGCTAGTGTTGCTGTGAGGAGGGGCTGGCAGGAGGATGTGAATAAATTAGCCCCTCTTTGTTGTGGCAGATGGTGCTTCTGCCAGACAACGCTGGTGTGGGTCTGTGGCTGCAGGGCATGTCGGAAGCCTGGGGGCTCTCTTCAGGGCGCTGCCTGCACTCTTGGGTGTGGGTTTGGACATCCCGTTGGAAAGCAGTCATGTAGGCAGAGCTGAAAGTGTGGCTGATTGAAGGGGGAGGTGGCCACCTGTACACGCTGGAGAGCCCTTGCACCAAGGGCTCCAGCCCTGGTGACATCAGGTGGTGTTACACAAGAAGGAAGTAGCTCCTGTGAGGATGAGTTGGACCACAGAGCCCTCCTAGGGCCCAGCTCTGCAGGGAGTGAGTTCTCCATTCCTGGGGGTGTGCAAATGCCTCAGGTAGTGGCTTGACAAGGTCGGCCTTCACTGTGTCTGGAGATACCACGTCATCCTCCTTCCTGTGATGGCTCAGCGGTTGGGAGCACTGGCTAGTCTCCCAAAGGACCTGGGTTTGATTCCCAGCACTCACAGGGAGGCCCACTCCACCTGTGATTCCTTTCTGGGACCTTTCACCCCTGCATCACCCTTGTGATCAGTCTTGTCCCTCTCCCTTTGTTCTCTTATTATATTGCAGCCCTAGTGGGCATAGGCCCTACCACACTGTTTGGTTGCTGGCTCCAGAATGGTGGCATTTCTCTTTTAGGTGCCATGTTTTCTTCATCTAGTAATCTGTGTGCCACATCTGCCCCTGACTTGCTCAGCGGTCATGCTACCCCAATAATTGCTTCCTCCTTCCACAGCTGGTTCACTCCGGGGAAACAGAGAAGAGGCAAGAGCTGACAGCCTTCCCTTGGCCAGGCCTCTGCCTTGCCAGACATCACGGCTGGGCGTGCTGTCTGGAATGGGTGAGACTAGGTAGAGAATCCTGGGCCCTGAGGCCACCTGTGATGCAGCTCGTTTAGGACTTGGTTGTGTATGGTGGCCTGTAGGGATGGGAAGTAAATCCTCCTGCTGGAGTTGGGGCAACAATAGGGGCAATAAGTCCCAAGCATAGGGAAGGCCAGGGCATCAAGGGACCTCTGGGTGAGACTTGATGCCAGCTGAAGAAACCCCTGGCGTGATAAGAAGAGAGGTGGAAGGGGGAGCTAACCTGTGCTACGGGCTCTCAGGTCCTCCTAAAGAAACAAAACCCAAGCCCCTCTTCTCTGAACCCCCCGTACACGGCGGCAGAAAAGTGTCCCTGCTCTTGGTAACTTGACTGGACACCACCCCTCAGGGTTCTTAGTCCTTTTCCATTGTAGGACCTGAGAAATCTCTATGTACCTCTGAGTACAGCGTATATGAAGTAAGCACGCAGCTAAGCATGCTTCATTGATAATAAATCATGAAGAAACACACTTTAAAACTTCTTTAGTGTATGTACAGTTGTTACCATTCATTGACGCTAAGAGCAATGTTGCACCCTAATGCAATGGATGGGTTTGTTGTCTTCACATAAAGAATTCAATCTTGGGAGCTGGTGAGGCAGTTCAGTGTTAAGGGCATTGGCTGCTCTCCCAGAGGACCCAAGTTCAATTCCCAGCACCCACAGGGCAGCTCACAACCATAAGTGAGTCCATTTTGGGGGATGTGACACTCTTCTGGCCTCTGTAGTCGGTGGGCACACACATGGTGCACAGACATACATATAGACACAACAAAGACACACATAAAGCTCAACATGTTTAAATTAAAAAAAGTAATGACGCCATCTCTGACATCAACACTGCGGGATGTAGAATACCTTCGACACTTTGCTGCAAAGTGTGTTAAAATTTTTATTTTTATAGCACTCCTTCATATAAATACAGATTACAAAATGGGGAGAGGGCTGGGGACATGCCTCAGTTGGTGTGCTTGCTTGGTGTGTGTAAAACCCCGAGTTTACCCCCAGTACCGGGTACCACTGATGTCACACAGCTGTGACCCCAGCACTCAGGCCTTCGGGTCATGAGAATCGGAAGTTTGAAGTTATCCTTAACCAAGTACAGAGTTTGAGGTCAGCCTGGCTAAGGAGACCCAATCTTAAGAAAAAGAAAAGAAGGAAGGAAGGAAGGCAGGCAGGCAGGAAAGAAGGAAGGAAGGAAGGGAGGGAGGAAGGAAGGCAGGAAGGAAGGAAGGAAGGAAGGAAGGAAGGAAGGAAGGAAGGAAGAAAGGAAGGAAAAGCCTCTGTTTTCTGTAAGCCAGTGTACCTGTAAGAGGAGAAAGCAAGCACAGTAAAAATAAAACAAAAAATTCCCACAAGCCCCCGCAGCTCATCACACACATCTGAATGAAGCGTTTGGGGTGTGGGTCCTTGGTGTGTCAGCGGTGTTGTTAGAGGTGTGTGGCACGATGGATGGCAGATTCGGTGCCAAGCTCCTGGGCTCTGAAGCCCAGACTGCCATGGAACCATATGATATGACTCGTGTATGCGCTGACAGAACACCTCCACTCCATTCCTCTTTTGATTTTGGATTAAATTTTGGTCACTCTGTGTTTAGAAAACTTTGATTGTCACCAGATTTTTTTTGGGACCCCCCACTCCACCCCTCAACAGGCAATATGACTCACAGTTAGAGCCAGATTCCCGAGGCAGCCAGGTGCTTTGTAGCCAGCAATAAATAAGCAGATGGTAGCTGAGGCGTTGGGGGTACTCAGGAGAGAGTGTGTTGAGATCCTAGCTCCAGTCCATCAGAACCACCGGACATCTGGACATCACTTTTCCCTCTAATTCTCTATTCCTGGTGGTGAAAGCAAAGGGCAGGCTTGCCGATCCCAGAAGGTCCCTCCCCAGAGGGCTTCCTGCAGGCCTCAGAGGCCAGGGTTGGGCTCCTGCCAGGGTAAAGGGTTGTTCCTTTGTCTTCTCCCAGCTCCCATGATCCTCATGCCACCTCGAGATGCTCACAACGTCACTGGGGCTCAAGTGTTCCTTTCATGTGAGGTGAAGGCTGTGCCCACCCCAGTCATCACCTGGAAGAAGGTAATTTTCTCCAAGCTCTTATTTGTACATGTGTCTGTGTGCATGTGCTTTGTGAAGGTGGGAGAGAAGGACAGAAACAGAAGGGTCCTTGGGTGGTACACAGTTTTTCCTTAGGTGTGTTTGTCTGTGGGCCAGAGGGTTAGACAAAGATGCTCCAGCCCTATGCCTCGATGCTGCTACCCCAGCACTCTCTCCAAAGGAAGGCTTGCATTCCTTCCCATACCATTTGTTCATTTGGTCAGTTACATGCCTAGAAAGCTCTGCTAGCAGACATACTGACGGCTTTGTTGTGGCACGGAGCTGTAAGAAGATACTGAGACTCTATCCTGTCCTGAACACTGAGGGCCAATTCTGAGAGACTGGCAAAGGTCACCACTTAGTTGATCCCTGGCCCCAACAGACCTCTAAGGGCTGAGGAATTCACAGCTATCCCCTTTGGCAAAGTTGACAACCTTACTGTCCAGCAGGCGTCGCTGTCCGAATAGTCACAGATTTAAAAGAAGGCCAAGTTATTTGCATAAGAATGACAGGCATTTGGGTTTCTGCCTTGGAGTCCCAGGGAGGATGCAGGTGGCCAGAGGCCTGGGGGGGGGGGGGAGTCAGCCTGGCTCAGAATTGGTTTTCTAAACTGTGCGTGCTTTCTCCGCCTCATACAGGTTGTGGGTTCTCCTGAGGGCACTGAGGGGTTGGAGGAGTTGCCCGGAGACCATGTCAATATAGCTGTCCAGGTGCGTGGCGGACCTTCTGACCATGAGACCACATCCTGGATTTTGGTGAGTGTTTAAGATTTTTGAAAATTATCTATCGACAAGCCACCGCTTGTCTTCTCATGACACGCTACCCTTCTAAAATTGTTCCCTATTCTTTCCTTTTGGCTTTGCTGGGGATTGAACCCAGGACCTCACTTTGCATTTTTATTTGGAAGGCTGATGAGATGGCTCAGTGCATAAAAGTACTTGACCTGAGTTCAATTCCCAGGACCCACATCTTCAGAGGATGGAGAGAACAGATTTCTGCAAGCTATCCTTTGAGCTCCAGACACGCGTGTCCATACACACATATACACAAAATAAGTAAATAAATGTGATTTTAAACATTTAAATTCTTAATCTGAGACAAGATCTTCCTAAGTTGCCCAGGCTGACTGACCTCAAATTCTTTAACCCGTTTCTGTAGCCCACGGAGCAACTGATGTATGCTTCCAGATCCACCTTGCCCCGTCTCTGTTCCACTGGACCCTCTAGAGTAGGCGGGCAGGATAGATAGCTCCTAAGAAATTAAGTATCTTAGGTAGGCTTTCTATTGCTGTGAAGAGACACCATGACTGAGGTAACTCTTATAAATGCAAACATTTAATTGGGGCGGCTCACTTACAGTTGCAGAGGTTCAGTCCATTATCGTAATGGTGGGGAGCATGGTGTTGTGTAGGCAGATATGGTGCCAGAGTAGGAGCTTAGAGTCCTACATCTTGCAGGCAGCAGGAAATCCAGTGAGACACTGGGTGGTATCCTATGCATAGGAAACCTCAAAGCCCACCCCCACAGTAACACACTTCCTCCAACAAGGCCATACCCACTCCAACAAAGCCACACCTCCTAATAGTGCCACTCCCTATGAGATTATGGCGACCAGTTACATCCAAACTACCACAATAAGTGATCTGCTGCAGTGGCCCCAAAAGATATCCCAATGTCCAGCTCTGGATGGGCTTCCCTGTGTGGCGGCAGGGGGGTGAGGGGGCTGTTAAGGCTTTAAGATGAGATTGCCCAGGAAGACTCACAGGTAAGTCACATGCTGTTGGGGTCACAAGAAGCTGATTGCCCAGATCAGTCCAATTTAAAAGGTGAGTCTAAGTGAGGAGGAAGGAGGCATGGCGGGATGAGAGAGGTGCTCCCCATTAATGAACTGAAGGTGGAGGCCATCCTCCACCTAGCCTAGCAGTGCTCATGTCCCTTAGAAATCGGCCAAGACAAGAGAACACGTTGTCCCCCCCCCCCCAAGGTTTAGGGAAGCTGGACAGACCCTGTTTTGAGCCTGCTAGACCCATATTGAAGGTGATAAGTTGGTGTTGTATTAAGCTGCTAAAGTTGGGACTATTTTTTACAGCAACTACAAGAAACTAATGTACCTGCCTGTGGCTACAGGTAGAGAGGGAACTGGAACATTGGGGTTCTCCCACAGGGTGTTGTTAACAGTACTCACATTTTTTTCTAAGATAAAGGAATGCCACTTGTTTGAAAATTCTAGGGAACAGGAGCTAAGGCTGAGGCTAGACAGTCACCGTTGCTCTCTTAGCCTTAGAGTCTTGTGACCCAACAGCCTGAGGTGTACTTGTGAGTCAGTCTCCTATAAAAAGAGACCAATGACACTCACCCTTCTCCCCTGTTGTGTGACAAACTTTTCCTGGGGAGATGCTACATGCGTGCACACACACACCTACACACCCCAGATAGGGATTCCCATGACAGACCAAATGATGGGTACCACCAAAGTCTGATGGTGAACCAATAAGTTTTATTTGGGTTACTTACAGGAGCTGACTCAGAGACAGCCATGTCCCCAAAGCCCACCCCAGCAAGGGTGACAGCTCACAAAGTGGGGAACCTGTCGTACACTCACAGCCTGTATGCAGCTCAAGGGGATGCAGTGTCCTTCCCAGGCCTCTCGGTTGGTCTGAACCTCTTCCAGGCAGCCCAGCTGGTTTCTGCTTCTTCCAGGTGTCTGCTCTGAGGGTCTTCTCTGCAGCTCAGCTTCTTTCCATCTGACTGGGAGGCTCTGTTTTTATGGCTTACTCAGGCAGGGAGGGGCCTAGTGAATCTGGTCAGTTTCAGGGACTTCCTGAAGCTCTTTTGAGTTGTTTACCTTCCTGCTTAAGGAGCTTCCTTGCAGATGGAATGTGTCAGTCTCCAGAGAAGCTGACACACAATACCCTGATTGGTGTGGGTTCAATGATATCGTGTGCCTGAGTGCCCCCTTGGCATGTAGTGGTATGCAGTGGACAGGGGCTCTTACTACAGGAGAAGCCAAAAGAGACACAAGAGTGGATATGGGTGTGGTAGACTCCGTCATGCTCTCAGGGGATTGTCTGCCTCATTTCTACCAGCTCTGGGCAGTTTGACAATGCTTCATCCAAGCAAGGGCCTTAGACTGCAGCTGAGTGTGTGTGGCCTTCTCAAATCAAGCATATTCCCTCTTTGTGTGAGAAAAGTTGAGGACAAGGTCTCTTGGTGGTATCTGGTAAAGGCAGCCCCATAAAGAACACTTGGCAGTCTTCTCTGGTGGGTAGATGTTTGTCCTGTAAGAGTCATGCCTTTTTCCTCAAAATCAGCTCTTGCCACTGTTACTGAAAGGTCAGGCAGCTCAGAATACAGAGAAGCCACTAAAACAAGAGCCACAGCAGGGAGCAGCTCTTCAAGAGGGTCCCTAGGAAGACAGTGTCACCGGGTGCCAGCCTCCATGGCAAGAAATGAAACCAAGAGGCCTGCCAGATTCTGAAAAGCAACCATGGTGCAGCTCTGTCATGAACTGAGTTCAGGCTGGGGTGTGGCTCAGTTGGTGGAGTGCTTAGCAAATAGGAAGCCCTGGGCTGGATTGCCAGGGCCACCGAAACCATGCGTGGTAGCGCAGGACTCTCATCCTAGCATGCTGGAAGTGAAAACCAGAAGATCAGGAGTTCAGGATCATCCTTAGCTACATAATGAGTCTGAGAGCCTGCCTGAAAACAAAGAACACTGAACAAGGTTGTCGGTTTTGAGTGTGATGTGTGCCGTGTGCAAGCTTTTAAATTTACCTATTGTATTTCTAGATCAATCCTCTGAGGAAAGAAGATGAGGGAGTGTACCACTGTCATGCCGCCAATGCCATTGGAGAGGCCCAGTCCCACAGCACGGTGACAGTCCTCGATCTGAGCAGATACAAAAGCCTCCACTCCCCAATTCCAGCCGACCTCCTATGAGGAGCATGGTACACATCCCAAGTCATTCCTATCTCCCTCCCTGTAGCACAGGAGACATGAGTGCTGCAAGGTGACTGTGACTCTGCTCCACTGATTTCTCAGCAGCCCCAGCATGGGTCATGTTCATACTTATGGCAGACAGGATGAGCAGGAACTGTGTACAGCCTTATCCAAATTTCTGCTCAAAAGTGATGTCACATTTGCCAATGGATCGTTGGCTGTGTTAGGTGGATGAAGTGGGACACACACACACACACACACACACTCCACTCACCAGAACCAAAGGGCAGCATGATCCTCTCACAGCTATAGGAGTTTTCATCATGAATAGATACCACTATCAAGACTGACCAGCAAGGTCTAATAGAGCAGGAAAAATTAGAAATAAGAACAATTGGCTTCCTTTTCTTTTTAAAATTGTTATGTGTATGAGTATTTGCCTGTGTGTGTATATATGTGCTGCATGCATGCCTAATACCTGTGGCTGAAAGAGGGCATTGGATCCCCTGGAACTGGAGTTACAGACAGGATTGGAGCTGCCATGTGGGTGCTGGGAACTGAACACAGGTCCTCTGCAAGAGCAGTCAGTGCTCCTAGCTGCTGAGTCATCTGTGATAGACATTCTTGAAAGCAGAAGGGTTTTGCTGTGGTTCTAATCCCTTGATCCTCCTGACTGCTTATGTTGGACAGCCTTCCGTCAATTCTGTAGAGGATGTATGGGGAAATGACAAACATCACCACAATTCAAGGAGTGCAATGGGTGTGGGGCAGGAGAGACTGAAGGAAAGATGTCACTGAGGAAGTGACACTGAGGTTGAAGGACAGTATCTGTAGGTCGTCAGAGGTCCTAGGAAGAGAGAGAGAAAACCATGACGGTGTAAAACCACAGGACTTCAGCAAAGCTGGGTAATCAGATCTTATAAGCTGTCTTCCTAATACTCATTTTTATTATGCATGATACACATGAGAATACATATTGTTTTATAACATTTATAATAACATGGTTTGCATCCACGTCTTAAGCTTGCTCTACAGCATGCACTATTGGCCAGCTCTTGTTGTGTGCCTCTGGGACTGAATGAATGCTCATTATCACCATACAGCCATATTGGGGCATTTTAGGGCTTGAGAAGTCCTTTCTATAAGCTGGAGTCCGCCTCCTTGGAATATCTGGCCTTTGGTCTTGAATATTCTCACTGCCCCAGGACTGCCCCGCCCCCATCAACTCTGGCTTCATCCCTTCATCCCGAGAAAGGATTTGGACCCCAGCATCACATCCTCCACCTCGAATTTAACACACAGGTCATTCCAACAGAGAAAGCATCTGCCTCTAATGCCCCTCCCCCCTTTTCCTTCCCAGGCTTCTGGAGACACAGGTCACAACATGATGGCGGCGACGTCAAGGACTGGATCAATCTGGTGGAAACAGCCTGTAGATGACTCCTTTTTGTATGTTTTTTAAAAAGGGAATGCAAACTAGATTCTTAAACAGATGTAGTTTTTAGTAGGGCAGACTTTGGGGAGACATACATGCATGTAGCTTCTTTATATTTTTGGAATGAGTTGTTCTAGAACAGTTCTTTTTTAAACTCTTCTGCCCCAGGATGGGTCACACACTGTGTTTGTAATTTTAAAGGGCTCAAAACAAGGCACGTGCTAAACGACTCACGATGTGGTGTCTGTGACTTAGTAGGTGCTCTGTGACTGTGTGTCTGGAGACTGGGGGGGGGATGGGGAGTTGGGGGGGTCCCTGTGCTCCCCTCCTTGGTGGCTGGGATGGGATGGGTGTTTTTGCTCCTCTGGGTTGGTTTCCACCCAATGCTCCCTGTAGCCGCACCCCCTTAGAGTGACATGGGCCTCAGGAACTATGGTCCTGGCATTCTTTTTAAAGTCATCCGTTAGTTCCTGGCATGGACAGTGCGGGCGGCTCTTCTGCTCCCCCTTCTCCCTGTTGTGAGGAGATTAAGCTCTAGATGGGACCCTCTGCCAGACCTAGGAGCTGCTGGACCAAACTGTGTCCTTGTTAACCCAGCATTCTCCCAAGCAGACAGACAGTACACACCTGACTTCTGCATATCACACTGAAGAGAGGAAACCAGGTGTCATCTGTAGGCGGAATCACACTGCAGTACGGTGCATTTGTCCTTACCCGCTTAATGAGGAAACGAAGAAAAATGAGAATATCTGCTCTCTGGTTTGCAGGATCTAGGTGACTGCATGCATTCTCTCTCTCCTTCTCTGTCTCTCTCTGTCTCTCTGTCTCTCTGTCTCTCTCTCTCTCTCTCTCTCTCTCTCTCTCTCTCTCTTCCTATTTTATTTTTTTGAGGCTGGGTTTCACTATAGCCCTGGCTGTCCTGGAACTCACTCTGTAGACCAGGCTGGCCTCAAACTCGAAGGGATCCACTTGCCTTTGCCTCTACAGTGCCGGCATTAAAGGAATGCGCCAGGCTGTCTGCAGCGTCTTACCATCAGGGTTGGGGTCCCTCGCTGTGGACAGACCTGAAAGTTCACACAACACTGTCCCACATATGAGCCCAGCTAAGGTGGGAAGAGCAGGGATTTCTGCCATCACTGCTTCAATGCAGCAGCCAGGCGCAGGGCTGGGAGCAGGTGCTCTGCCAGAGGTGGCCGCCATTGAGCAGGACAGAACTCAGCTGCTTCCCCCCACCTGCAGCTCACTTTCCCCAGGATGACCTTGAACCAGAGACAGGTGATGCAGCCACACCCAGTGGGCTGAAGCTCATCTCGGCTTCTGCTCATACTCTTGCTGCTCATGGCAGGCATTGTGTTTGGGAGTTCTTATTAGAACTGGATTGTCTCCTTTAATCCTAGCAGAGCTGAGTCTGAAGGGCCGGGATATTGTCTCTTTCGTGTATTGTACACACAGAGGGAGACAAGCTTGAGAGTCTGGAAGCATGGTGTCCATGTGCACATTCACTGTGTGACCTGGGCAAGTCCCCTTTGCTTGTGGGCCACAGTGTCCTCAAGGGGGTTTGTGGGAACCCTTCCTCTGTGTAAAATCAGAAGTGAAGTTGAAAGCTGCTGTCAGACTGGGAGGGCCAGGGAATCTGCTTGTGTCTACACCAGAGTTGGCCCCTCCTGCCCCTCTCAACTGCCCCCATCATGGCTATTTCCATGTCTGAGAGTCTGTTCTCAATGTGAATTGAGCAGGTAGGAGATGACACGCTCAGATGCTTAGTGGAATGACATCAGAGGATGTCACCTTCGAGACAGCTATCTGTGGAGAAGGTGACAGATATACTTTGCTTACGTGATGGTGGTAATTGCAGTGTGAAGAATCGCTCGGTCACCTCAGGTCTGCACTGGATGCAGGAGCCCCTCGTGGAAGTACCAAGTGTTGTGACCTTTTGGGGCTGAGTTATGTGTCACACTTAGGAGTGACATAGGAAAACAATGCATGGTGCATTGTCAGAAATGTTCATCAATGTCCAGGATCAGGGTGATTGTTCAGCCCAGTGGCTTTTCACTCCGGGAGCTTCAAAGACGCCTTCTGAGAGCAGGAACACATGCCATGACTGTCACCATTTGGAAGCACAGTTGCCCACCTACACACTCACCCGTTTGCATAGATTTCATGCTGTTGCAACCCCTGCACCCTGATAACAAATGCCTTTAGGGGTGGACTCTCTCCACCCTGGGAATGCTGCTTCAGATGCTGGATCCAGGCTCCATCCATTCATCTTCGTCCACCTGCGTGCAGCTTGCCCGTTTTTCTGCTTGCATTAGCTGCTTCCACCCGATCCCCCTCACCTCTCCCACCTGGGCTGTGGTTGCCTCCTTGTCTGACCCCTATTTCAGTTTTTCTTTGTTATGTTTTGGTCTCACTGTGTGGTTTAGGCTGGCCTGGAACTCCATACGTAGACCAGGTTGGCCTCAACTGACAGAGATCTGCCTACTTCTGCCTCCAAAGTGTTAAATTTAAAGGTGTGTGCCCTACCATACCTAGCTCTCCACTTGCAGGGCATTTTGTTTTATTTTGAATATGTACAGGTATTTTGCTTGCATGTTTGTCTGAGCCCTACCTGTATTCAGTATTCACGGAGACCAGAAGAAGGCAACCGTTCACCTAAAATTGGAATTGCAGACCATGTGGGTGCTGGGAACTGAACCCAGGTCCCCAGTAAGGGCAGTGCTCTTAACCACTGAACAATCTCTCCAGCCCCCTACTTGACAGTTTTTAAACATCCACTCTCCCCAGCTGGGTCCTTCTGAGTCTCCTGACCTTGTATTTTCATGTATTTTAGTAATTTATTCACTCCTTGTCTGTACTCTCATCTCCCATAGACAGAGTGGGGAAAGGGGTCAGGTACCAGGAGGTGCAAGTCACTAGGTGGGAGGATAGAATGTGTGCCAGGTTCCCACCAGCTGTGTGGGAGGGTTTCCTAAGGCTGACCCACCAGCTGCCCAAAAGTGATAACATCCACATAGTCTTAATTATAATATACAGTAAACTTGTCTTTATTATTGTTGTTGATGCATATTCTATAAACTCAACCTATCATAGGCATATATGGGGGGGAACAGCATGTGCTTGCTGCACAAGTGTGTGGGCCTGCATTTGATCTACAGAAACCGCATTCAGAAGCTGGCCATGGTGGTGAAAGCCTACAATGCCAGAACTGGGAATTAGAGGTGGATAGATCCCTGGGGCTCACTGTCTAGACAGCTAAGCCTAATCAGCAAGCGGCCAGCCAACGAGAGATCCTGTCTAACAAAATAAGGTCAGTTCTGAAGAATGACATCTGAGGTCCTCTGCCTTCCACGGGCACACATACTTATGTGTGACCTGCATACCATGTGCCTGGATACACATATTCATCTGCACAAACATGTACACACACACACACAGACAAAACACAGGCTTATTCTCCACAGGGAACTGGATACCACAGTGATTCTAAAGTCTGTACCAACTCCAAAGGTGTTCACTTTTTATCCTAAACCACCGAAGGACTGCGTTTTAGTACAATGGCTATTTTCCCAACAGGTTCTGCAATGAAATTAATTCCT